AGGGATACATCAGAAAATGAAGGACATAAGGATATACACTGACCTTATACAGAAAGGAATGAAACACACAGTGCCTACTGTCCCACTTCTTGAGATCAACTCTGATGTGAAAGGTAGGCAGGAAGCCTCTCTGGAAGCCTCTTCACTTAGGCCACAGATGCCTGAAACATTTACTGGTGAATAAGATTGTGGTCCTCACAGTCTCTGAGTCCCATTAGGGAAGCTCTCAAGTTACCACCCCACTACATTGCACCAAAGAAAGAGCCCAGCTCATGTTGAGCCCTCCCCAAACTAGGATCCTGCTTCAGGGACCATGTTAACACCATTCTCACCTTCAGTCAGACCCAAGAGAGCTGTGTCCAGAGCTCAGCAGACTCAGCCTTGCAAGCCAGCCAAGTAGCTTTGCCCACACTCCCAATGTTCTTAGACACATAGTCCCCCAAATGGCTTGACCTACAGAGGCCCCAGGAAAAAAACTGTGTGGTCCTCACCAGCTTCCTAGTGCATTTGAATCAGTCAGGTGCTTCTCAAGCCCAACCTTAGGCCTAGAAGCAGCGGAGTAACTTGCTTCAACTCAGCCTTCCAAGGCTCCCTAAGCAGTCAGGTGGCCCTGCCTATTCTCCCTTGCCCTTGAAAAATAACCAGAAAATCTGCCCTTGGCATCTTGGCCCTCAGAGGCCCTGGAAAACATCCAAGTAACCTCACCTACCCTCTAGGGCCCTTAAGAACCAAATGAGAAAATCTCAGAAGCTTGGCTCACCGAGATGCTGATAAAGAAACAAACATCTCCTACTGCCAACCTTAAATCCTGGAAAGTAGCACAGAAGTCTGCCCTGGGAAGGTTAACTTGGCAACCAAGAGAACCCTAAGACACTGGCAGGTACATTGTTCAGGCAGCTTGGTCCAGGCATGGTCCTCAGACACCAAAAAGCACCTATTCTGCTATAAGGCACAAGAGATATCTCCACTTGGATCAAGCAGGATGGTCTTATCCTCATACACCATGCTGAACAGACAGGACCTGTGCACTCAGGGCTTCCAAAAAACATGATCTGCCTAAGAGATCTGCACTCCAAGGTGGTGGAGCAATTCCACAACTCCTACAATCTAGGCACCTAGAAACCCACAGACATCGCTAAAATAGATGATAGCTGAAATAATTACACAAACACCCCATTAAAATGCTCACTTAGAATCAAAGCAAGAACAGCCTATCCAATCAACATCCTAGGATATGTCATTAGAAGAAAAATTTTTGCAACTAAAACTACCTCATAAAATTAATGGAAGCAATTGATTTACAACACAAATATGTAAATACCAATCTAGGAACACAAGATGCATGAAAAACAAGGGTAACGTGATGCCTCAAAAGGAACACAGTTCTCTAGCAATGTACTCCAGAGGAAAAGAAACTAACAAATTGCTTGAATGGAACTCAGATTAATGATTTTTAAGGAAGCCTTTAAGGGACACTAGAATACAAACAGTCAACTCAGTTAAATTAGGAAGAAAATCTGTGATACGAATGAGCAATTTAGCAGAGGCACAGATCACACAAAAAAGATCAAATATAAATCTCTGAGCTAAAGAACTTGCATGGTTTAGATTTAAGATGTTCCCCAAAGTCTCATGTGTTTAGGGGTAAGGATTTTGAAAGAAAATTGCTTAATGAGGGCTCTAACTTTATCAGTGGATTTATCAACTGATGAAATCCTAATCTGATGGCATTACTGGGAGGAGACAGAAACAAAAGCAGGGGCCTCACTGAAGGGAGTGGATCATAGGATCATGACTTTGGGAACTATTTCTGGTACCCAGCCCTTTCATCTCTAGCTCTTTCCCTCACTCTGTGTTTCCTGGTTGCCATGAGGTAAGCAGCTTCTTGCTTTCACATCTTTCCACCATGTTTTGCCCTACTGCAGGCCCACAGCAATGGAGCCAGCCAACTATGCACTAAAATCTCTGAAACCTCAAGCCAAGATAAACCTTTTTTCCTTGAAGCTGACTTTCTCAGGTAGTTTGTCACAGAAATGAAAAGCTGACTAAACAGAAGTAAAAAAAATGAAATAAAAATAGAGTGGAGAACCTCCCAGAATAGAGAGAAGAGCAGAGAGTGAGTGGAGAACAGCAGAGTAGATCAGGCAGGAATAGGTTTCTGCCATTGAAAAGAGGTTATTTGAAACAACAAAGTGCGACAATTAAAAAATAGACTAAAGAAAGTCTTTGAGACTTATGAGGCCCTGTTCAGTGAGCAAATTTTTCATTGTGATGTTCTGGATGGGGAAGAGAAATATAAAGGCATAGGAAATGCATTCAGTGAAATAATTTCTGAAAACACCTCAAATCTTATGGAAGATGCAAGCATCCAGATCTTGGAAGCTCAAAGTACCTCTAATATACTCGATCAAAAGAACAAAATTCCCCAATGCATATATTATGGACAAAATGTGAGAAGTACATGACTAAAAAGAATGACTTCTAAAAGAACCCAGAGCAAAGAATAATTGCATATAAAATAATCCTCATTAGTCTATAAAAAACTCCTGAGCAGAATCCTCAAAATGAGAAGAGAATGGGATGATACATTCAAAAGCCTGAAAGAAAAAAGTTGCTAATCAATTACATTATACCCAGCAAAGGTATTTCTCAGAAATGGTAGAGAAGCAAATTCTCTCCAAGATGGGAAAAACGGCAGTTCATCATCACTAGATCAGTCCCAAAGAAAGGCTGATGGGAGTCCTAGCTGAGAAACACTGAAGACTACCAAGGTGAAAATATGTGAAGATTTAAAGGTCAGAGCTAAAAACTGATTCTCAAAAGGAAAAAGAGAATCAAACTCTTTAAATACAAAGAAGTACTACACCAAAAAATAAATCAGAAGTAAGAAAGAAATAGGAGCTATATAAAAGTGATAGAAGAAAATCTTTACATATGAACAATATCCTTGACTGTAACTTCATGAAATTCCGCAATTAAAAGATATAGGCTGACTAAATATGTTAAAGACAATAAGACCCAATGATATACTGTTCACAGAATGAAAAAAAAAACTGTTCATCTAACAGATATTTAATGTACAGAATTTAAAGGAACTCCAACAGCTAAAAAAAAAAAAAAAAAAAAA